AACCAACCTAGATTTCTCTGACTTTTCCGATTCCTTGTTCCCTTGTACTGTCCATCTTACGTGCACCGATCGTATAGGTCCTGAATTCTATTTCTGTCGCGGAAATTTGAACGTATCCCGGAACTGAGGTATCATTTTCAATCTGTGTCAGGTTCATACTGGAAGATGGTTGGTGGATGGGAATCCGATGGTTATTTTGTTCGACATCGGATCCGCCGCCTGGAAACTACACGAATGGAAGGAAGAACTCTGGAGGAGCGCAAATGTTGGGATCCCGTGGGAAGACGTCGAAGTGAACGATTCTCTCATTTTTGGATTTCTGTGCGCCTGGCTTTTGCAGGAGGTTTGTACTTATCAAGCCGACACTTTTTGGCGCGTTCATTATTTATGAATTCATGAATTTTCTTTCCACTTTCTGGCAGTTTCATGAAGCCGCCGAAGAAGCTGGAGCCGGTGTTACTCCAAAAATCGTTGCGCATTTCCACGAATGGCTCGCTGGCATTGGTCTCATCATGCTCAGGATTCGTCAAATTGAAATCGCCACAGTTTTCACTACACACGCCACCCTCTTGGGGCGTTTTCTGTGCGCTGGCGAAGTTGACTTCTACAATAATCTGGACAAGGTGAATTTCAGTACAGTATACCCCTTTTTTCGTATTACGGCATTATTGCTCATAATACCGTTTTCTACGTAGCTCACAATTTACACCCTTGGCCTGTCTTTGTTGTCGTTCTATTCAGCGTTGACGTTAAACTGCGATGTGTCCGAAAAATAAAATGTATGAGCCCCACTTTCAAGCACACAATCTGTGAGTAGATGTACTTGCGAAAACAAGCCCCGAACGAGAGCATTGAAAAAATCGAAATCTAACACTATACTCGGATCCGGTCCGAATTCAAATTTGATGAGAACAAGCGTGCAAACGAAATTTTTTTTTTTATCCTAAGGCAAATGACTTTGGAATCATCCTCCTTCGAGGCTTCTTGATAAAATTTTCTACTGCTTGTTAATTTGTCTGAAATTATATTTGAGTGCCCTTTCTGATCTGAGGATAATTCGAGAGCTGATCTGATTTTCGGAAAAAATCAAGCCTTTTTTAAGCGAATCTGAATTTTTCTAACAGTATTCCGGATTTAAAATTTAAAAAACTCTATTTTCGTGACTCCAAGGTCTGGTGCATCAGTGGTTTTCTTTCAGTTAGAAAAATCACCCGTCCTAGTGATTATTGAACACAACACGTGTCACTTTTTGGCCGACTTCCAAAATTCTCAAGGTGGAACGCTTTCCAGGGAAATACCGTTTGCGCAATCGAAGGAGTTAACAAGTTTTCGAATTCCATCTTTTTTTTTCTAGTTCAACATCGACGAGGAAGCAGGAAAGCGACAAATTTACCATCGGTACTGCATAGAAAGAGCTGCCACGCACTTGGGGCATGTTTTCACGACTGTTTCCGATATCACTGGGCTGGAAGCTGAACACTTACTTAAACGCAAACCCGATGTCATCACTCCGAACGGTCTGAACGTGAAGAAATTTGCAGCTTTGCACGAATTCCAGAATCTTCACGCGAAAGCAAAGGAGAAGATCAACGAGTTTATCCGCGGTCATTTCTACGGATTTTACGACTTCGACTTGGATAAAACCCTGTTTTTCTTCACCGCTGGTCGCTATGAGTACATGAACAAAGGAGCGGATCTCTTTATTGAATCCCTGGCACGGTTGAATCATTATTTGCAAGCGACGAATTCGGACAAAACCGTCATCGCCTTCTTGATCTTCCCGGCGAAAGCGCACAATTTCAACGTGGAAAGTTTGCGTGGACAGGCAATTACGAAACAGCTTAGGGATACGATTCATGATATTCAGAACAAGATTGGAAAACGAATGTATGAGATCTGTCTGACGTGAGTTATTCAACTATCCCGTCATAGATTTTGTCTGTTTTTCATCATAGCATTTCAAATTCATTCTGGAAGCTTCAAATATTATGTCTTCGTAATGTTTTTTTTTTTTTTTCAAAAAGTACCCCTGAACTTTTTTCAAATCGCGGATATTTTCTTTTGTATGGATTTTTTTCATCGTATTATCAATCTAGTTGGCCATCTCTTAGAAATCTGTCGTATATAGAAATTATATTTAAAAATGGCAAGTACAGAGGATCCTCTCGTAACGAAATGAATTCGTTCCTGGATGCGTTTCCTGATGTGGAATTTTCGTGATGCGAAACGCGATTTCCCTCAATGTTACGTTGTACAGTACATGATTCAATTCCTTCCAGACATACGCCAAAAAACATGATGACAGTGCATTTTTCCCAGTTTTAATCATGAATCGGGAATTTAAAGTTCATTTCTATTGCGTCGAAGTAATCCTGACAATTCTGTGCTTAAAACTTTCTTAATTCCACAATTTTGTAGGGCGAGAAGATGCAAAACCATACCTTAAATTTTCAATTGTTTTCGATTGTTTGAAAATTTCTGAAGTTTCACCCCGAAGTTCTGCTATAATTCGAGCGTTCTTTGGCACGCTCCAAGTTAAGCTATGTCGTTGTGCGAGGCAACTTTTTTGTCATGAAAATTTTCTCAATGCAAAATTTTCGTTGTACGTGTCTCTCATAATGCGTGTACCCATTGTATAGGACAAAACCGGTAGTAACGAAAAAGCTTGAACACCGAAAAGCAAAACTCATTCATGGAATCTGAATTCTTACATTTTACTGTACTTTACTAGACTTTTTATTCTGAAGCCTGCTAATTTTTCACCTACTCTTCAGACGCTCGATCTTCTGATGTACTCTCATGAATAGGCACTCATGTAACAGTCTTTTTTTTCTCTTATATAGTGGAAGATTGCCTAACGAAGGAGAGTTACTGGAAAATGTGGATCAGGTGAGAATCAAGCGTTGCATATACGCTCTTCAGAGAAGCACTTTGCCGCCTGTCACGACTCACAATGTCGAGAACGATTCCGCGGATCCTGTTTTGACTGCCATCAGGCGATGCAAGTTGTTCAACAGCAAGCACGACAAAGTCAAAGTAATTTTCCATCCGGAGTTTCTGTCATCTACCAACCCCTTGTTCTCACTTGAGTACGATGAATTTGTTCGCGGATGTCATCTGGGCGTGTTTCCGTCGTATTACGAGCCGTGGGGCTACACACCTGCCGAGTGCACGGTCATGGGAATCCCTTCTATCACGACGAATCTGTCTGGTGAGGAATCCTCGAGGCCCAGTATTTCTTTCGAAAGAAGTCGCGCTTTTCCGACAATTTGGTCTAATCGTCGATTGAACCCTTGGTCACGTTTTTTTTTCTGATAATTTATCATAACTGTAGTATCATTTTCTGTATTAGTGAAGTTTACTTCAAATTATTGGCTCTCGTACCTTACTGAAAATTTTTCAGAGGTGAGCGAAGGGTCAGATTTTCTTCCTTCAAATCCGGATGAGACGCCACCATTTGTCTCTGGAGCTTTTTGGCAGCTTACTGAAAAGTTCATCTTTCAGCTCCTTCGATTTTCCTCCAAAAGCATCAGAAATACATTGTTCCTCGAAATTAATATGAATTTTTATTCGAAGAGTATTGCTCTGATGGATTCCTCTTTCAGAAAATTAATTTCATTCTATCGACCTTATTCGAATTTCAAAGGTAATCTTTTGATCAAAAATAATGAACTTTGCCTTATACCGTATTTTCTTTAAAATGCACGTTCGTAGACAGAAATTATAATTCTAACCCCAATTTGGCGTTGTAAAGGAGACAGAAATAATCCCGAACAGCACTTTCCACCATTAGTGTTGGCACTTGGCGTCTTATCGAGGATTGCTAGGGTATTTATCATTGAGGAGATATGTTTAATGCAAAATTTTGGCAGTTATCGAGGGTGGCGCGTTATTGGGAGGCGTCTGAGCAGGGTTTGACTGTAACTAATTCTGGCGGATACAGTTACTGCTGATGCCGTATTTGAGGGTTTATTCTACGTGATTTATGCTGTTCTAGAAGATGTGTTGACTTTGTCAGTGAATGTTGATCATCTTCACTTCGTAAATTTTTTGGACGAAAGATTGTGAGAATTGTCTTCATAATTCTGTGACAATGAGGTTTTCTGGCGAAAGGAAAGCGGATGATTTCCCGAGTTCGAATGCTGTCCCCTTCATGTTCGGTTTCTTCATTTCGACGTATTTGGTCCACAAATGCTTCTTTTTTGAAGCATATGTGTCGCCTGTGTTGTCATGTTGTTGCCGTGCTCAATTTTCTGTTTACTTTTCACTTCTGGTTATACTGTACGGTGAAAAATTCGATCCATTGTAGTTGGTATTCAAGCTAAACCTTGACATTCTGGAGACCAATCTTCAAGTTTAACGTTACAGCTACAAGAAAAATCTAAAACCGTTTTGAATGAGGGAAATGATATCCTTTGTTTTTTCAGGTTTCGGATGCTTCATGGCGGACCACATCTCCGACCCAATGTCTTACGGAATCTATATTGTCGATAGGCGACACAAAAATGCGGAGGAATCGGTGCAACAGTTGGCGCATTACATGTTCGACTACACGAAGCTTAACAGGAGGCAAAGGATTATCCAGCGCAACAGGTGTGTTCAGTCGATCGGATTTCGAATAACCGTGGGAATTAATTTTCTCTACTCGTAGTTATTGAATCTCTACGCGAGAGGAGATCGAAGTACGATTGAGCGTGTAGAATTCCTAAGCTTACGCGTAATCGACGACTTGGGATTTTATTGTGTAACAAGCTGGGGGTGCCCAGCCACACCTGGGCATCATGTTCAAAATTTTATAGAGAATTGATATTCAATCATTTGAGCTGATCAACATTTCAGGGTGGGCTGCTGAAAATTATTAGAGGGTTGTAAT